TTTCCAGCCTCAGATGGATATTATCCCACCCCACACACACCCCTGAGCAAGGAATCCCCTAGAATGGAAGTTCCTTTTTTATGCCATGCATCTACCACATCTTACAACTCTTGCTACTTATGACAAACTTGACTCAAATTCTATATGATATAGGCAAGTGAAATTATATTGTAACATAGACATCAGATTTATTATATTTATTTTTATTATTATATTTATTATTACATCATTCCTAGTTATATCAATGAGATTCACATCTCTGCTTGCTACCCAGGTTTTGATGCACCTTATTGTAACATAGAATCATAGAATTATTTAGATTGGAAAAGAACTTTAAAGATCATCAAGTCCAGCCATCAACACAACACTGCCAAGTCCAACTAAATCATGTCCCTAACTGCCACATCTACACGTCTTTTAAATACCTCTAGGGATGGGGACTCCAGGACTTCCTTGGGCGGCCAGTTACAATGCTTGATAACCCTTTCAGTGAATAAATATTTCTGAATATTCAATAATAAACCTCCACTGGTGCACACCTTGAGGCCATTTCCTCTTGTGCTATCACTTGTTACTTGGGAGAAGAGATTGATCCCCACCTCACTACAACCTTTTGGGTATATGTAGAGAGGTATAAGCTCCCTCAGCCACTCCTTGTAAGAAAGCTCCTTTCACCAGCTTCATTGCTTTTCTTTGGACAGTATCTTCCGAAAGACAGGGAACAAATTTTCATGTAGTTTTTGATTTCCTCTCCCTTGGATGGGAATTCTGTGCCTAACAGTCTTACCTACATGTAGATCCCCATTTGGTGTTAGTGTAAGACGATGAGCAAAGATGTGAGAGATCTGTGTTGTGACTGGGGAAAGAATAAACCCCCATACTTCCCTCAGCATAGCATCTGTGTCATTGTCATCTCTTCCGTTCCTCTGGAACATCAGATATAAGCTGTGATGTGGTTGCTTACAGTTATTATTAACTGCATAGCATATGGAAGAACAACCAGGAAATGCAGGAAGGGAAAACTTGTTATGCATTCCCGGCTGTGTGTATCTGTTTATATTCTCCTAATCTCGTGTAGTACGTGTTACTTGGTCTTCTCCTGTAAGGGATATTTATACTGGGTTGCCTTTGCAGCACTGAGCACTACTGTGCCAGAATCCTTGGAGGTTATTGGTTTGGCTGTGCCAAAGCAGAGGGACCTGCTCTTCTGAGAGCACTGTGACCCTTAGCTTTAAAACTGAAGTTGCTTTCAGGTGCTTTAGGCTGGACAGTACAGAATTGACATGGACAGCTGCTTTTGAAAATCTTAGCGTAAGTTTTCACTTCCTTACACTAAGCAGCTGTTTCAACATAAATAAAATGGACATAAACGAAGAGTTAGGGAGAGAAGTAATTAAAGATCTGCATCATGTAGATATTGATTTAAAAAGTCATATTCCTTTGCTTTCAGGAGGGAAGAAGTAACACAGTGCTTAGCACCAGTGCAGAAGATCAGAGTGCTACTGACTCTGTTTGTCCATACTGTCCATCTCCTGGACATAGTCATGCACAGACAGTTCCAGTTCAGCACCTTTCACCTCTTTCAGGATGGCTTTCCAATGAGTCCAAGCTGCAAACCAAACCAGTTGATCTTGGTTCTTCTGTTCAAACCTTAAGCAATATGACCTCTCTTTAAAAAAGTAAGCTCCTCATCTCCAGCATTTCCCAACACTTTTTGCACTACTGTCTGTTTAGTCTCTGCAGGGCCTTTACCATTTCTGCATAGCTTTTTTATAAGGAGAGGGCCAATGAATTATCTGGATACTGAGACCCTAGTCCTCTGATGAAGTCCACTACTGCCCCAAGGGCAGGAGGCCCTCTTCATTAGGGTGTTAGAGATTTTGAGCAGCAAAGCATAGGGCTGACTGGAACAGGCTGACCATGGGCTGAGGCTTTTCCCATCTTATCTTTCTGCATAGCATTTATCTCTCTGCTGGAAAGACTCGAGGCAGGGCTCGCTTAGGAACAAGATAAATTTCATCTTGTTCATGTAGTATGTGAGGTCAATGGGGGAGAAATAACCAAAGGGCGCATAAACTTTCTCCCATCTTCTGCACCTTGTGCTGCAACACACTGAAACACCATTAGAACATTTCCAGAAAAATCACATGAAGAGGTGCACTGATGCTCTTGTAAGAATAATTAACTCTCAGTGCAGTTGCTCATAGCTGTGATAGTACTAAGTATAAATCAGAAGCAGTCCATGTGTTCACACTTCCATACACTCGTGCTCAAATATGATTCAGGCCCTTCCTCAGCATTTTGTTTCAGTGAAACCAGCTGTAGGTACGCTGATGAGCTTATCATAACTTGAAAGCATTTACAGGAGACAATTCAAATTAACTTATAATGACATTTCCAGAATGCACGTAGGTTTTTAAGCAATGTGCAATATGCATAAAGGAAATCTAGTGATGCAGAGAACAATGAAGACAGTTTAAATGGGACATGAATTGTACCTAAGGTGCCTCCCAGTTGCTATTACTACCTCTGGTCAGTATTTCAAGTGAAGATCCCTGGTAATTTAAGAAGTGGGTGTGCTGCAATATTCTCGATGAGTCTTTGAGGAGTTATGACTCACTGAACCATAGCTGTCTGAGGACTTTGAACACCACAATAAGATGTTCTTTCTAGCTCTCTGGGAAACAGTCACGTCATAATTTTAAATTCCCAAGAGCAAGTTTTAAAGGGTTTTTGCTTTAATAATCCCTATTTAAGATTGAGGGTTTTTTGGTTGAAGACTTCAGTATTTGTTTCTCAAAGCCTTTCTAAACAAGTATTTGTAACTGATGGAAAAGTCAACTTCTTCTCCCTGGTAAAGGCCAGGAATTCAACTATCCCATTCCTTGCATCTGTTTTCCTTTAGATATGTCGGACACGGGAGTTGCTCTTATGGCTAATTTTTCTAGAATTAAAGAGTGAAAGTAGAAGGGATTTGAGGCCCTCAGATGAAAAAAGATAAAATCTGGACTAAAAAAATGTGTCAAAGTGCAGGTACCAAATAGCTGATTGTTGCACAGGCTTGTTCAGATATAAGGCTCACATTAGACTGTCAGCCACACAAATGTGACATCTATGAGAGAGATAAAAATGGGTGAAGAATTCTCATTGTACTAGGATGGTGTGACACCAGCTACCAAAATGTTTTAGTTAGGCGTTTCCATAGCAAAATACAGGGGGCACAAGTTGTTGTTGTTACACATGGTGCCTTGAAGCACCATTGAAGTAGGATCCAAATCATAGTCATCTCACTAATGTGAGAGCACTTTAACCCCAAAACACACCCAGCTAGACAAAACAAACCACATAACTTTTATAGTCAACTGGAACACAGAGATGACCAGCAATAGCTGACAGCTCATTTAACAGCTTTCTTGACTGTGCCGTGTGCCAGCAAAGTCATCATTACAGAAATGCAGGCACTCTTGGCTGAATTAACACCAGAGTTGCAGAATCCTGCACCACACCCAGACACTTGTCATGAGCTGCAGGCAGGTGTGAAGGGCTGCAGTTCCTCACAGCCTGCACCTGCAACCTGCCTTGCTCTTCCATGCACTGCTGTGGGCTGTGTCTGTCCTCGCTGTGCATCTCCTACAGCAACCCCGCAGTTCTCTTCTGACAGCCCTCACTGTAAAAGCTCTGAACATGACAGCAGTCACCACTGAAGCTTTGAGATCCTCCAGCAGTTTTTTTACTAGATTGCTCAGATATGTATTGCGGGGTATTCCATATATAAACCGACAGGATGAGGCTGTCCTGACTGAAGGATACGGTTTCTCGTTAGGAAGGATTTCTTCACATTAGGAAGAATTTCGTGACAGAAAAGGGAGTTTAGATACTGGAATGGATTGCCCGGGGAGGTGGTGGAGTCACCGTCCCTGTGGAGGTGTTCAAGTAAAGGCTGGACGTGGCACTCAGTGCCGTGGTCTGGTCGACATCCCGTCGTTCAGTCTCAGGCTGGGCTGGGTGATCTCGGAGATGTTTTCCAACCTAACTGATTCTGCGGAGGCAAACCTTCGTGCGACCCTACGGACACCTCCGGGGGCCCGGCCAGCCCGGGCCGCTCACGGCTCCCGCCCCACAGGCCCAGCACGCCGCAGGGGGGACGCGGGGCCGGCCCTGCCGAGCCGACCCCGGCCCGGGGCGGGAGGGGCGCGGCCCGCGGGAAGCCGCTCCTCACTTCCTGCCGAGGCGGGTCTTCCTGCGGGCTCGACGCGGGGAAAGGTGACCGGGAAGCGGAGCCTCTGCGACAGCCGCAGGGGCAGGGGTCGCGCAGACCGCGCCGCCGATGCGGGCCGGGGCAGGGCGGGCCGCGCCGGAGAGCGAACGGGGGGCGGGAGGGAGCGGCGGGAGCGGGACCGGGATGGAAGTGACCCGCCGCAGCGCATGCGCCTGGTGCCGGCATGGAGCGAGCGGGGGGCGGGTGGGTGTCCCGGGGGTGCGGGATCCCGCAGGCCCTGCAGTGGGAAGGTGCTTGTCCCAGAGGTGCGGGATTAGGCATTCCCTGCAGTGGGAAGGTGCGTGTCCCAGGAGTGCGGGATTAGGCATTCCCTGCAGTGGGAAGGTGCGCGTCCCAGGGGTGCAGGATTAGGCATTCCCTGCAGTGGGAAGGTGCGCGTCCCAGGGGTGCAGGATTAGGCATTCCCTGCAGTGGGAAGGTGCGTGTCCCAGGGGTGCGGGATTCCGCAGCCCCTGCAGTGGGAAGGTGTCCGGGGGGCGCGGGCGTGGGTTTGCCCGGGCTGTGAGGGATGCGGAAGGGAGGGAGTACCAGTGCAGACCCTGCACGTGGGTAGCAAAGGAGTGGCCTTAAGCTGTGGCAGGGGAGGTTTAGATTGGGTATTAGTAAAATGTTCTTCATGCGGACGGTGGTTGGGCACTGGAACGTGCTCTCCCGGGAAGCGGTCACGGCACCAAGCCTGACAGAGTTCAAGGAGTGTTTGGACAACGCTCTCGGGCACATGGTGTGACTCTTGGGGATGGGCTAGGAGTTGGACTCAGTGATCCTTGTGGGTCCCTTCCAAGTCAGAATATTCTATGATTCTAAGCATATCGATATGCTGGAGAGGCGCTGGAGAGGGTTGATCCCTCACATCAGGAAGGGGCCCAGTGAAGAGGTCAATCCCATCGGTGAGGGAAGATGGTGGGAAGGGTTTCTTGCCCTACCCTAACACGCACACAGCGTGATAAGTGCTTTCCCACCCACACAGAGGTGTTGGAGGGCGTCTGAAGGGTGTGTAGTCACCTGCACTGGGATGCAGGAGCAGGCCCGGGGTGTGTGTGCATGCAGGCAGTGTAGAACTGATGGCTCCATGGGTAAAGAAGGGTGGCGGGAACACACATGCTGGTGCATGGAGTTTGGGGCAGAATATCCTGGGTGCTTGCCACATGGCAAAGCGAATGGGAAGATGAAATGACCCCAAACACACAGGCATATGCAGAGTGTAGAGGCTGTGGGAGTGTTGCAGGCTCTTTGATTTTGAAAAACGTCAGTTCAGAGGTGCAGATGTAGAATATACACATGGTGTATTTTTTTTATGAAACACTGATGAAGGCGTTATCTAGTGCACTTCAGACTACTAACAGAAACAGTAGCTTCCTTGGTCGCTTCAAAGACTGGCCCAGAATTTCCCGGTCTCAGAAAGTCGTTGAACCTCTAATAGTCTAAAAGCCTTAGGATGGAATATGGAAGAGCAGTAAACCAAAGGTGTAGAGAGATTAATTATTTCCAGTAGTCCTTCATGGATCACTGTTTTATTTATTTTCCTTTCTGCTAAAGATTGTTAGCACCCGCAAGGTGGAAGAGGTAGATCTTGGAAGAGGAAGATCCCCAGACTAGAGAATGCTGTGTAGATAAAACTCAGTATATCATCAAACACCTGGAAATTCAGAGGCACCTGTAGTGATTAATTATTTCAAGTAATTTTGGTGAACAGTTCTGAAAATAGATTATTTGCCTGCAGAAGCTGTTAATAAATTCTAAAATATAGTGGCAACAAAATTATGTAGCTTTGACATTACAGCTCTGCTTGAAGGAATTTACTATTAATGGCTGAAGTGACCTCGCCATTACTTGTTGGCAGTAAATGCTATCTGAAAATACAGAATTATTTTTGCATTAGGTTCAAAGTAGGTCAGAGCCAGGATAGAATTATACGTCTTATTGGACTGTGATGTAGCCATACATCACATGTTCCTTTAGAAAATGTCCAGCTTAACCTGAAAAGCGGTAGATTAGTTTAATTAGTGGTAAATCAATAGAGTTAACACTTATATTGCATTGTTACCTCCCTTTTGCTAGGGTAAATATTGTGGTTCTTCAGGTAACCAGGTGTTTAAAGTGAACAGCAATAGAAAAACTGCACCAAGGGCAGTGCATGGCTTACTTGGCAGCTTTTTGAAACTATTGTGGTACAGAGTTATAAGGCTGTACTAAAAATAATTCTGCTTTGGGGCATACTGAAACTGTAATTTAGCAGAAGTTGAAATGCACAAATACTAGGAATTGCTTTTGATTCTAGTCAATTCATATGTATTTGAAGTGTCTTCACATCTACCTCCAAAATTATTTCAAGGGACCTTTATTGCAGCCAGTACCAACTGCAGTTGAATGTGATCTGTGTGGCTGGAAAGATGTGTGGTCTAGTGATTCAGTTCTGTTGCATCTCTTATGATGCAACATGAGATATACTTTTTTTTACGACTTAATAGACTCACTGTTTTAGGAGATGGTATTTTCTGGGTTTAGATTCAAGGATTCTAGAATTTTAAGCAATGCTTCAAGATAAAGGAGGACAGAAATTTTTCTGCTTCTTAAAAGCCTTCATTGCATAAATGAAAAGGTAACTGCTTTGTCAGAAGGGACATGATGGTCCTAGCTCAGGCAGGTAACTTAGAATAAGCAAGCTCTGGGTCAATTTGCTTTGTTACTTCCTTACTCTGTGCCCTTTTACTTTAGCTTCTCAGTTCATACAGTATAGGATATGTATGCAGCAGTGGCTGACTTGAAGGGTCTTCTGAGAGATTTGCTTCTAATATTGTTTGTGCAGTTTCAGAGACAAGCTTATAGATGTGTCAGAAGTGGTCTTCACATCTTGAACATGATTTTATTTGAATTAGTGTCTGCTTCTACATGTATAATGGCTGGATGTCCTCCTCTAAACCAGCTCCAGAAAGAGGTTGTTTTAGAAATGAGGAAAAGCAGTGGTTCAGTTATATCTGAGTCTGGCTAATGTGATATGAGGTTTCACTCAGTGATACAGGATAACACGCTCTCTGACTCATGTTTATACAGCATCTAAAATCCTGAAAACTACTGTCCCTACATTTTCCACGTGAGTTACTGAATTTCTTACATACATTAAAATATTTCAAGCATGTTGGACAAAAAGAAGGGCAAGATTAAATTGAACCAGCTATCATATATGCATATAGGTGCAGATATTTTCAGCATGAATAAATAATTAAGTTTCCTGAAGGATTATCATCTGATCCTTTGGAAGTGCAAAACAGTAATTAATTAACATATTACTGTTGATGTAACATTCCAATGTAAATTCAAATGAAGGGGCTTGATATAAACAAAATAATATTTATTACTTTATGGCTGAATCCATAAAACTCAGCTTAATTAGTCATCATGGTAATCAAAAGCTGAAATTCCAGGCTGTATCTGTTCCATTGAAGTTGTATGGAGTAGCCATGTCTGCTTTGTTTGAGTGAATGCCATTTCTTATGAGCTTAGTCATGGGAGCCATCTTTGCTTTTTGTCACCTCAGTTTTATTCTGAAAGCTAGCCTAAACCACCCTTCCAGGAATCATAGATTTTGGAGTTTAACTAGAAAAAACATGACTAACAGTCAATAGTTTTGTTGAGCCATAGTGGATTGCAAGTGGAGATTAGAAATATCTTTTACCTTTGACAACCTGGCATAGTTTCCTGATCACCCTAACATTACTATTATACCAAAGCACTGCTTCTCGTCATGTGTGATAAAACCTAAACTAATCTGGCTTAAAAATAGGAAAATCTTGAAAAATTGCGAATTTTCTAAGTTTCCTAAGAGTGAGATATCACAGTAGCCTTTCTTTTGGAACTTTACTGAAAAAATCTAAGTGTAGTCTAAAAGGAGTTTGAAATGGCAATACACACATGACAATACTAAAAGGAGCGATTTCGTGCTTCTTTTACTATTGTCGTGCTTGTGTATGAACTGCTCGGAAAGAGCTTCCCTACTGACAAAACCAGTAGAGATTGATACTGCTCTGAGTCAGAGATAAGCAACCCTTGTGCATTAATCCGGAAGGAGTTTATTTGCCGTTTTAAATGGAGTGAAAATCTGACATAACATTAGATTTCATACCAAAAGGATGATACTTACTTAAAATACTGTTATGTTTGAAAGGAGGAAAAAAAAAACAAAACCCCACCACCTTATAAATGGGGGGGTCTGATAAACTCTTGCTAACGCCTTCGTAATTTCTGTTTGTGGGGAGAGGAAATTTGGGTTATTCAGGGGTATTTTATATATATATTTTTATATATATATATATGTATATTTTTTAACAGGTTTATTGTAACCCAATACTGTGTCAGTGAATATCTTAATGTACTTTGGCCTTCAAAACAGTATGTAAGGGTTTAGAAGTCAATGTTTAACTTGCCTTACCTGACCAAAATATGTTTAACAAAGACATGTAAACCAATTCAGTCAAAAACTTTCTCTTTTTTATTCACGGAGTCTCAGTGGATGCATTTGAGCAATCAGTTCCACTCCGTGATTTTGGAATATGAGATTTTCTATTTTTTCATGCTAAGACATAGTAATTTTTCTACTTATACAGAGGTTTCCATCTGAACAGGGAAAATTACTGTTTAATTACAGCTGAACTTCATAATACTTAAATATGGTTTATACAGAGTTTTTATATATTATTTATAGAAATAGGGATATTGAGTTTTAACTAAAAAAAAAGTCCTATTTTCTAAAATTTTCTGATGATACATACTTTAAGGTATTAATTGTCTGTTAACAATGGATTGGTTACTGTGTGTCCACAGTTCTGGACTGTACTTGTGTGTACTGTTCATGAAGTGTACCCTTTACTGCAAGCAAATGACTATTACTAATGACACACTTCTTTTTCTCTATTACGCCAGGAAGTGTACTTCAAGAACCTTTCAAAACAGAAGCAAAAGGAAGTCATGGAGAAGAATGGAAACAACCACAAACTTCGTGTTTGTGTTGCTACTTGCAACCGTGCTGATTATTCAAAATTAGCTCCCATTATGTTTGGTATTAAGGCAGAACCACAGTTTTTTGAGCTTGATGTCGTGGTGCTTGGTTCCCACCTGATTGATGATTATGGGTAAGGTGAATTTTTATCTTTCTACTGATCTGTTTCTGGGGTGTTAGCAATGATACCATGAATGTTAGGTAAAAAGAGTCTTGGGATTGTCAGTGTAAGCAACAAAGTTCTAAGATTTTTTTCAGATTCCATTTTATTTTGCAGCTCCTTCTGAGATTGCCCATTTCTATGATTGTTTCAACTAGTCTTGGAATTTTAGGAAGTTTTCTTTAAATGCTGTAATCGAGGTCTTCAGCAGGATCACAGACTGTATGAAGTGAGAAACTCAGTTCCTTCATTTTTCTGTAAGAAGCTGGTGATTATCAAATGAAAACATGCTACAGTTTTTTAATTTTCACAGAGAAAAGATACTCCTCAGTCATTTTAAGTTGCAGCTCTTCCACTTTGCATAGTTATTGGACAAAGTACTTACGTATTCCATATCCCAGGGGAATACTGTTAGTTCTTACTTCAAGAACTGTGGAGGTAGGAAAGGGTGGTTGTCTCTTTCTGACAAAATGAATAACTGATAGATATATTAGGTATGGTCAGGCAGGGAAGATTAGGGTCCCCCTCCATAACGCTTCACCAGTAAGCAGTCAGATCACCTTCCTGGGAGAATGAAATGTCTTGGCCTAAATTCCTTCCTTTGGAAGGGCTGCCCACATCCCAGGTGAAAGGGTAGAAGGAACAGCATGCATATTCTTGCTGGGATTGTAGTTGGTTTTCCTCTGGCTGCATTTGCCAGATTGGGCTCAGTAAGTGAAATAGATAGGAAAACACTTACTTTGCAAGACAAAATCAGACTTCAGCTTAAAGTCTGCAGCATATCAGCCTTTCTGAACTTTTAGAAATGTATAAGCATATCTTCAAGTAAAGACAGTTTTTGGTCTTTCCAATGAGAAATTTTGACATTTTGTAAGTTAGGATGGGAGGAAGTTATATTGTCTCAAACTGCTAAGACAGGAAGTTCCACTGGTAACCGTTCTCTTTCTGCATGTTATAGTGCTCTGTTCCTTGCTTTGTACTGGACATTGTTTCCATCCAATGACATGCAAGGTGAATTCAAGACCACAAAACTAACCTGATTCAAAACAAAACCAGACAAGAAAAAAAACAGTCAAACTTCCTGACAGGTTAGCATGTTGGATTGCATCCTGTCTGATTGGAGAAATACAATAATCCCGTTTCATTTGCTAATGAGGAGAAACATCACCCTGATTTTTCTGTAGTCCATAATCCTTTGCTGTCTGCAAGACTTGTACAAAATAATATGAAATACTTCTTTCCCAGTTCCGAGGTGTTTAGCACTTGTTTCTATTATAAATGAGTTGTAATGCACAAAGCAATCAATAGAGATTTTGATCTGACAAATGATGTCGCTGTTAGTTGCTTTGTGATAAGTATCCTAAAACCGAGGTACTGCTTGGGTTTTTTTTTTCAGGGCCTAGCCCTGCAGTCCTTAATCTGGGGAATACTAGGGATATGTGTTCTAGGGATGTGAGGAGGGTAGTCACAGCAGCAGAAGTCAAACGACAGTGATCCTGTGAAATGCTTGTTATTGAAATGTGTGGAGGATAGTAAAGGAAATAAAACCATCAGAAATGCACAATCATTTGTTCCCTAGATTTTGACCTTTCAAAAGGCAAAAAAATATAGAAGCAAAGAGAAGGAAGTTTACTTGAGGTAAATGCACATAATAGGGAAAAGGGCAGGTATATGAAGGGTATTTTTAAGTGGAGTTGGAAATGTAATGCAGTTTATGCTGTAAAAATCTGAACCACTTCACTCAGTAAAACAAAAAGGATTTGCCTTAAAAAAAACAAAACAAAACAAAAAACCAAAAAGAAATACAAATTACCTTACAAGTTACTTGTAGGCAATATATCCTGTGTTACAGCAGTGAGCAGAATCAAATAGATAAATAGATAGAGTTTCCTTTAGTTATGCAGAATTGGGGATGACTTATTTACTTGAGTTGGAGCAGTTTATAGTCTTTGCCATCTCAGCTCAGCTTGCCGATTGTGAGATACTAAGTTGCAGAATATGAGTAGAAGAGTAGATTTAATGAAAATTAAATCCAGTTTAAATCAGTTTAAAAGTGTAATCCTTTTACTAAGATAGTGAATGTCAGATGGATTGAAAACAAAATTGGAAAACTTCTGTGTTTTTTCTCTCACAGTCCAGACAGGAATTCCAGTAGTGTGCAGACTACTAAGGTCAGTTTTAGTGAATGTTGTAACCAGGTAATTTTATACAGATGTGTGATGTCTTCTATTTCACATACATTACTGTAAACAATAATAATTCTCAGTATTCAAGGAATGTTTTAACTTTCTTATTGTGGACTAAAGCTGGTAGTATGTGTGGAAAAGCTTTTTTTCTTTGGTGTGAAAGCCTGTTGAACTTAAGGCTTTGTGCAGAGTCTTGATACAGCTCAAATATAGAATGTGAATAATATATCCTAGCTGCAGGATGTTTTCCTTGAGCATACAGGCCTCAGCTTTGCATTGTATGTGTTGTATTTATACAATTGTCCAGTGAAGTCAATAAACATACCTTTTCTGAAAGGAAATTGTGCCCTATCTATTCTCTGAAAGGCTCTGCAAACACATGAACAAAGAGTTTGATTTTTGAGGATTTCCAGAACATGTTCAGCCAGTCTCCTCATTAAAGGTGTCTAGAAAAACTTGATGCTTCCAATATGAGGCAGAATCTTCACATGGATGAGAATATTCTGTTAAAATCTTAAAAAACTAATTGTTCTTAAAGAAGGAGATGTGATAAGCAAGCCTTTGTTCAAACCCCAGTGCAGCTGTTGCAATTTGCGTTTATTTTGTCAGGCTGTGTTGCTGTAAAACCAAGTTATGTTTACCCTCACCCTTCCTCTCTTACCTTCAGTAATACCTATCGTATGATTGAACAAGATGACTTCGATATCCATACAAGATTACACACCATTGTGAGAGGGGAGGATGAGGCAGCTATGGTGGAGTCAGTGGGCCTTGCATTAGTCAAGTTACCAGATGTCCTCAACCGCCTGAAACCTGACATAATGATAGTTCACGGGGACAGATTCGACGCCCTGGCCCTGGCCACGTCTGCAGCCCTGATGAACATTCGCATTCTCCACATTGAGGGTGGGGAAGTCAGTGGGACCATCGATGACTCCATCAGACATGCCATAACCAAGCTGGCCCATTACCACGTGTGCTGCACGAGGAGTGCAGAGCAGCATTTGATAGCCATGTGTGAAGACCACGACCGCATCCTTTTGGCAGGCTGTCCCTCATATGACAAGCTTCTCTCTGCCAAAAACAAGGACTACATGAGTATTATACGCGTGTGGCTTGGTAAGCAGTCCACTTTTTATGTTTTTCCTGTGACTTTCAACACTAGACAGACTCAGTAACTAGGTTAGCAGTCCAAAAAAATAATATATTTGATAATAGTACCTGGTATTTCTTTCTACGTTTCCTTTCTTTTTCTTTTGTTCTGTAGTCTGCCTTGTATAGCCTAAAAGCTCCAAATCTGTCCTAGTGAACACCTCTGGTCCTTTTGTCAAGTCAAAAAAATAACTCCTTAAATGGGTAATTTCTACAATTTAAAAACAGAACAGTCTTACATGAACAGTTATAGGATGTGTTTAAATAGAATCAAAGCTGTTCAGGCCTAACATAAAAAAAAAATCGAACAGAATTTGTATTACGAACTTTTTTTTGAGGAATGCACTGCAACAAGGCAACATGCACCAAAGGCTTTTGGTGTTCCACTTTCATTGACTTACAAATTCTGTAAACAATGCTTTCTTTTTATCTTTAACAAAGCAGTCTCCTGTAGGGCACACTAACCTATGTAGTTGGAAGCCGGAGTCTTTTTTGATCAGTATGTTTTGCAGATCAGTTTCTATCACATGTACTAAAACAAGTATGACTGACTGTTTTAAAGAAATGGAAATGAAGTTTTGCTTGAGGATGGACAAGCGACAGAAAACCAGAGCAGCTTCAGGATTTATTGCAGATTTACACTGTTGTGAGAACAGTTCCTTGATCCTGGTATAGTCTTGCAAAGCTTTAGAGGTAGGCTTGCAAGTTAACAGTTTGTTGAGGTTTAGGTAGTGGTCTCTATAAAGTTATGTGATGTGCTTAGAGAGGCAAATAAGAGGGTAGATCACCCTGTAACTCCCTTGAGGTTTATTGTAGCATTGATACTTATGTGTTAGATGCCCCATTCAGTGCCTTAACTCTGCAGGCTTTCACATCAGTATTTTCAAAAGTATGACCTTCCTTCCTCTTGGTGTTCCATGCCAATTAAAAAAATTCTTTCTTTGCCTCCATTTGGACAGGTGAAGATGTCAAAACTAGAGATTATATAGTTGCTCTGCAACATCCTGTAACCACAGATATTAAACATTCCATAAAGATGTTTGAGCTGACACTAGATGCACTCATCTCCTTCAACAAGAGAACACTTGTTCTATTCCCTAATGTGGATGCAGGTGAGTAGAATACCTTGGTGACAGAGGGACGCATAAAAGGGTGCTTTTATCCTAGACACTCCAGCCAGATGGAAATAGCTGGATGGTCTCAGCATCGTGTGCATCTGCTGCAGCTCCATGTTTGTGTTGCTGGAGGACATTTCAGCTCTTCCGTGTGGGAAGGAAAATAAAGGGCAATCATGTGACATGTAGGAGCAATATTAGTGCCTCATAAATTAACTTCAAACTATGAAGAGGCTTCTGCAGTGGATTTTTGGGTCAAACATGGGCTCGTGTGCCTAGCTATGCAACTTACACTGTAAGAATAAAAAGATAACAAAACTTACTCAGAGCTGGCAACTCAGTGAATGGCTAGCTTCTGGCTCCTTTATGTGTCTGGACTTCCATTTTAAAATAGAACTCAAATAATTTATTCTACCTTGTTTTTCTGCAGGAAGCAAAGAGATGGTTCGTGTGATGAGGAAGAAGGGCATTGAACACCATCCCAATTTTCGGGCAGTAAAGCATGTCCCATTTGACCAGTTCATTCAGCTGGTTGCTCATGCTGGTTGTATGATTGGTAACAGCAGCTGTGGTGTCAGAGAGGTGGGAGCGTTTGGTACACCTGTCATTAACCTGGGGACACGTCAGACGGGAAGAGAAACTGGTACATGTTTGCTTGACTGATTTCCTTCTGGTTCTGAGGGGTTTTTTTACCTTGCCAGGATAAAGTCAAATGAATACTTAATAGTGGCCATCTTGCAATATCAGTGCAACATGATTTTTCACCCATTTTAAAGCTTCACTTGCTATTCCTCTATCATGTTAGTCCTGCTTATGTGTGATACATAAGATAATGGGGCTTTTATCTATAGACAAGTGAAAATATATCTCCATTTGCAGTGAATTCCATTTAGCAGAATAGGTAACTAATTGTTTTCCTTATAGCTAATAGCTAATTTGATGTTTGATAAGTATAAAAATTTCGCTTCCAAAATATGAACTCTTCACCACTTCAGGAAGTAGCTGTATTGTGGGATTTCAGGTATACAGACAAGACCCAAATAGCCATTTATCCCATTTTCATTTGTGCATTGTTAATAATAGAGTTCTGTGGAACACAAACACTTGCTAGTGTTCTGTAGCACAGGACATTGTATCACAGGTGTCATCATTACTTTATTGGGAGCAACAGGAGGCACATAATGGATACAGAGCAATGTTGATCTGGTGGGCATCTTTCCTCCTCAGAGGAAAGAAAAATAATTGTTTTTTTCATTTCTAAAGCAGTTCTTATACTCGAATGTAATTTGAGGAGCTGATCTGTCCTATTTTGTTGACTTTTGTCATCTAGGTGAAAATGTTCTTCACGTTCGTGATGCTGATACACAGGATAAGATTCTGCATGCTCTACAGCTTCAGTTTGGTAAGCAATATCCATGGTGAGTACAGTTGTCTTAATTCATCTGAGGGGATGTTAAAGCAGTGGAGTAAAAAGTATTTAGGCCTGAGGTGGTTCACTGTATTTGATTGGAGTGGTCTTAACGTGCTAATCTGAGGTTACAAATCATTTTCGTTTCCAAATCATAGTGCAATGTCTGGTATGCACATTCATATTTGTAGAGCAAAATGTCACTCATAATGTTTTGATATAACTAGTAATTTAACATTCAGCAGAAAGTCAAGAGGACAAAATTCATATGTTAACTTAGATAGCATGATTAAGAGAGCTTGTTCCACAGGAGCAGCATGGGGGGGAGAACATCCCGTGTGCCAACGTCTGTCTTGTGCCTGAAGGACACTTTTTCATGTGGATACAGATGATGCCACAAGCCAAAAAATGAGCAGGATCAAGGAAGACCATAAAGGCCTGGCAAGGCACGTGAAGAACATCACTGTCCCAGTCATCTTCTCGTCTCTCGTACTGGTTAGAGAAATGGGGACAGCCAGAAGCAGACACAATGCAGCTCAACATTCGGCATTGTGGCTGGTGTCATTGAGAAGGTTTTGGCTTTTAGGACAAGGGGTTGTACTTTAATGATTGTATCCTATTAGGAAGTGATGGGATCCACCTATCTAAAAAGGGCAAGAGAATCTTTGGGAGCAGGCTGGCCAGTTTTGGTGAAATGGGCTTTAAACTGAAGGACTCAGCATTGGGGTCCAAAGTGGCAATGCTTCCCCTGGGGAGTAGGTCATACCAACCAGTGCATAGAATAAGATAAGAATCCTAGGGCTAAACACATCAAGGGTGTTTATGGCAGTGGTGAATCCTCTTATGCCCCTTCAAGCAACCCCATTGCCTGATCCTCTCTGAAGTGCCTGTATGCAAATGTGTGCAGCATGGACAATAAACAAGAACTGGAAATCTATGTGCAGTCATAGGCCGTGATCTCATTGCAGTTACTGAGACATGGTGGGATAGCTGACAACTGGAATGTTGTCATGGATGGGTATGTACTTTTTAGAAAGAACACGTCAGCGAAGTTGCTCCTTATGTGAGAGAGCAACTGGAATGTATTGAGCTCTACCCAGGGGCAGATGAACAAGTTGAGAGTTTATGGGTAAGAATTAAGGGACAAGCTAATAAGGGTGACGCTGTTGTGAGTGTTTACTACAGGCCACCTGATCAGGAGGAGGAAGTTGATGAGGCTTTCTCTGGGCAGCTGGAAATAGCCTTGCAGTCACAGGCCCTGGTTCTCCCAGGGGACTTTGACCAGCCTGGTGTTTGTTGGAGGGATGATGCAGTTTGGCACACACAGTCCACCAAGTTCCTACAGATCACTGAAGATAGCTTTTTAATGCAAGTGGTGGAGGAGCCAGTGACGAAAGGACCTTGTACTGGCCAACCAGGAGGGACTGGTTGAAGATCTGAAGGTTGGAGGCAGCCTTGGGTGCAGTGAGCATGAGATGGTGGAACTCAGCATCTTGCATGGGGGAAGCAAAACAGTAAGCAGGACCAGAGCCCAAAACTTCCAGAAAGCTAACTTTGGCCTCTTCAAAGACCTGGTTGGAGGAATCCCATGGATTAGGGCTCTAGAAGAGAAAGGATTCCCAGAGAGCTGGTCATTGTTTAAGCACCACTACTGCCAAACTCAAGAAAAGTGTGTACCCATGAGCAAGAAATCAGACAAATGGGGCAGGAGATGTGTGCGGATGAGCAGGACACTTCTAGTAAATCTCCAAACAGCAGAAAAAAATTTATGGGATGATGGAAAAAGGGACAGGCCACATGGAAGGACTGTAGGAACCTACTAGAGAGCAGCTCTGCAGAGAAGCATCTGGGAGTCCTGGTGGATGTCAAGTTGACCATGAGCTGGCAGCATGTCCCTGCAGCCAAGCGGGCCAGTGGGATCCTGGGATGCACTGGAAAGAGTGTGGTCAGCAGATCAAGGGAAGTGATCCTCCCTCTCTGGGAGGCCACATCTGGAGTGCTGTGTCCAGTGCTGGGCTCCTTGGTTCAAGAAAAACAAGGAGCTACTGTAGAGGTTCCAGCAGAGGGCCACAAAGGTGATTAGGGGACTGGAGCATCTCTCTTATGAGGAGAGACTGTGGAAGCTGGGCCTGTCTAAAGAACAGAAGCCTGAGAGGGGATCTCATCAATACATACAAGTATCTCAAAGGTGGGTGTCAAGAGGATGGTGCCAGACTCTTTTCAGTGGTGCCCAGCAACAGGATGAGGTGCTGTCATGGTTTGAGATTGGCCCCCCCTCGAGAAGAGGGGGACTCAGAGGTGATTGGGTGCCAGGGCAGTGTTCCCTGAAGAGCCAATCACCACTCATGTTGTTCGCTTCTGCTCAAAATCATATATACACAGCCCACCGGAAGCTGTTGGCAAGAGTTCTGCTGTTGGTGTCTGCTGCGTGTAGGTATGGAAGGCCAGGGGGTGGCTGGGCTCCCTCTCTCCCCTCCGGGAGGGAGAGGGGAGCCCTGCGGCCCCCCCCCAGCTCTGCCTAGCCCAGA